CTAACATGGTTAATCATGCCTGCTTCCGCACTGTATGCCATACACGATAGTAATACATTTAATACTTTTTACCATTTAAGAACACAAGTTTCAAGAAGACAAGACAATTGGTCATTTTTGTCCTCAAGTGCCTAACAAACTTTACAGTGCAAAATAAATTCCAATTCGCTCATGTATCACTCAATGCCAGAGCCGTGTGCTTGGAGAAACGCCACACTGGCCAGTGTTCACTGCAGGGAGGGCATCCTGGCATGCACTGACTGTCACTCGGAAGGCACCAGGACCTGACGGGGCAACAACCACGGTATGTGACTCATCACTGGCCAAAACTATAAACGTGTGGTGGCATAGTTTCCTTCAGTAACATTTCTGAAGTACGAAAGCCTAGCAGTTAACAAGTGTTTCTCATTCGGAATTTTCTCTCTTTTGAGTGAGTGAGTGTGTGTGCATTCCTGGATGACTATTATCACACTGACTTGGGCCTCATATCACTTATGGTGTCAAAGAAATCAAGAAATGAAGTATGAGCTAAACATAATATCAGTGATTATTTCTCTCACTAATGAGGGTCAAATCTTTGTTTGTCTAGGTTTTTTTTTTTAAACCTGTTTAGTTGTCTGCCTGTATTTCTGGCTACACCACTTGCATGCAGTACCGTGAAGGCCAGAAAGCGGCACTGGAGCCCTGGAGCTGGCATCAGAGACAGCTATGAGCTGCCATATGGGTGCTGAGAAGTGAGCACAGGTCCTGTGAAAGAGCAGTCAGTGCTCATAATCACTGAGTCATCTCTCCAGCCCTAAGCATGGTCAATTCCTGACATTCTGGTATTATAAGACAGCAATGGCAGAATACTTCCAAAGTCGAGGATATATAAAAATTATTTGAATATATTTACCAAACATATCACATTTTCTTCAGAATTTTCAAGTCTTTTTTCTAAACTAGCATCACGCCCAGCCTTGGTTCAACCACAGGATGGCACTATGAATACATTAAACTGAAAGTGCCGTCCTCAGATTCTCTAGCTGTTCTGTAACTTGTTTGGTTCACTGCTTACACAGACAGTCTGCCATCAGACTCCCTCCTCCTCCCTCGCCCTCCTGCACGAGGCTCTGTACCACTTCTCTTTTGCACACTTCCCATCTGGCATTACTTTCAGTGATGGCAAGATATACTGCTTCCTCAACCATGTCTGTCCTGGCCAAGCTGCTGCTCTGCTTGCCGGGGACAGTACCATTGTATCTGGGAGATTTAACTTCTGCATGTTTATGAAACATTTCTGTCATCTGGCCAACTACCACACTCTAAAAGTGGCTGATCTACAAGACTTCACTTCCTTAAATTGTTAGCAATCAATCACTTTTATACACAACCTATTTTTCTAATTGCACCAAGCTACCTATGTATTGGAATATAGTCTTAGTTTATAAAACAAATCTAATAGGGTATGTTTCATTTTCTCACTAAAATAAAAAAAATCAATAAATAAAACACAATCATTTTCATTTTAACAAATGTCAGCACAATGGTAAAACCCTTTCTAGAAAACAGAGGTAATTTCCTTAGAGTTAGGAATTGAGATCACGGTACATTTGCACACGCTGACAAAGCCAGATCAGGAACATGACTCCCTTCATAGGCAGTAATGTGCACCAGGGCTTAGATTTCTGACTGACGCACACAAATGCTACAAGCACACCTAAAACGCTGAGCCCTTTGGTACTTTTGTTTTGCTGGAAGATATACTGACACAAGAGACTAGAAAATCCTTTAAATATTCACTTTAGTGTTCAATTAAAATAGTTCCAAATTTAATTCCAAAAATAATTTTAGATATGTATGTTAGTAAGAATATCCTTTTCAAAAGGAAACTAACTGGCATTACTAAAACACATCATCAGCTGTCAAGTTTTGGTTTGTTTCTTTTTAATGGCTACAGACTATATTCAAATTACTTATAAAGAAAAACTGGAAATCTCATGAGGAAAGAGGAAAGCTTATAGATATAGTTAATCTGCTATGACATTTTGGAACATTTCTAGCATTATATCTGAGGATGCTAAGAGTCACATTTCCTGGTAATTTATAAAACAGTAAATATGTTCTATTAAGTCTGACTCAGAAGTTTAAGCATGCTTTAATGTTTATTAGGCTGGTTGTTTAATGTATTTAACAAATGTTGCTTAATGGTAAAGCTAATGCCTGTATCACTTACCAGATATGAAAACATTGGCCAAATGCATAAATAGAATTTAATTATATTCTGAAAGTTAGTCACATAGCAAAGTCATTCATAATTTATGGTATGGTTTTGATTCATTTTAGCTCACACATTTTTATACGTGCATTTCCATGCAAATTACAAGCTGTGACATAACTATTACAGAATGATCTAGTTAACCTAGAATGTCTCTAAAATCTCACTGAGCTGCCATAATTTCTGTCAGCATATGTAATACTGAATGACCATTAAAATACCTGAATTGAAACTATTCCAGTCTAGCAGTTTGTAAGATCTTGTGTTACCCATAATTCCGACAAAGGCTGAGTTCAAAACAGCAAATTAGTTGATCAGTTTTAGGTGCAGAATAGTAGGAATAAAACAAACAAACAAAAGAAAACTATAGACAAGAACACAATTAACACCAGCACTTGACAGGAACTGGAAGACAGAGACAGCAGAGTTAATAAGAAATAGAGACAGAAGGCAGGAGGAGCAGCTACAGTAACCTCGACTTAACTCCTCTGGCTATTCGGTCATTGTATGCTCGAACCCACTCCTGTCTCTCCCTGTTCATGCTTCTGTTGGCTTGGGATTTAGCAAAGGAAGAAGTGCTAAGACCTCTGAAATAATAGAACTAGTGGCAATGATTTTAAAATAAGAATGTCTCCCTTTTCTGCTTAAAACAAAATTAAAATGTTTTGTATTCACTAGCCAAAAAAATAGCTGCTAGAAAACACACTGCACATGTATTCTGACCAGTCCTCAACTCTCTCTCGGCACGGGAGCAGTGCTGATTCCTAGTGCTGATAGGTTCTCCAGGTTCTCTCATAGGGTTAATATCCAGCTTTTCTCAAAAAATTTATCTTTTTAACATAAAAATTACTCAAAGGATTAGGAGTAACTGTTAGGCATTTTAGTGCCTAATTTATACACAAAGAATCCAAAAAGCATTTATTTAAATCAAAATAAGATATTGGAACCACAAAATATACACTTGATAGGTATGTGACTGAAAACAAGGCAAACTAAAAGTGTAACTCTACAGCATTTCATAGTATTTACACATAAACAAAGGTACACTTGTTCTGGGAATGATGCACTAGCAGTAACTGAGGCTTGCTAAAGTCTTCTGAAAGGGAGGAGGAAACTGGTGAGCTGCTAGTTGCAACACACAAAACTCATTCTGTGAGGGCCCTCTCTCCTGGGTTCTTAGAGTTCTTGTACAGCTAGAATGAACTGGTGAGTATAAGAAACTCTCAGAAAGAAGACTTTGTAAAAGTAAAGAACATTTTTAGATATTTTTCTCCATTTAAAGCTAATTTAAAGATGTGTTTGTCCTCCCAGGCTCTAGACTTTATCTAACTATTTGGAAGCACCAAAATGAAAGAGGACATCACTTAAATTCATTTCTAAAACTACTTTGTACAGTATCCTATCACTAGGTGCCATGAAACGTAAGTCACTCATCCATGGAGAGCACAGTGTCCCTCAGGTTTCATTGATCAGTCTTTCCTTATCCATCTCGTAACTCAATTTCTTACAGAAAGCCAGAATTTGGCATCATCTATATGAATGTAATGTGCTACACAGCAGCAGTCAAACTGCCCTGTAAGGGCTGCAGAGTGTACAAATACCATAAGGAAAATGAGATCTTAAACTGACCATAAAAATAAAGGAACGGGGGAAATAAACCAAATCAAAACAAAATACTGGAGCTGAAATTATGTATTTGCTCATTGTAGAGCTAAACAAACATGACTAGCATTGACTTTCTGAAGTCTCATTTGCAGTCAGAAGAATTCCATTCTGATTCTCAAGTAAAGTCAAGTCACAGAGCACTGATTAAACTAAATGTGAAAATTAGTGATATTTTGTTATACTTAAAAGCACTACTGGCAATGTTTTTCATCCAATATTTCAGACTTTTCTTCTTTTCCTACATGTCACAAAGAAGCTTCTGGATGTGATGAATTAGGGTCTTCCAAAATATACAAAAGTATAGCTGTCACTACTGCTTCCAGATCATGGTGTTTCAGCAAACATCACAGAGATGACTCCAAAGGGAGCTACCATTATTGATCATGCTTTGTTGTAGACTGAAAAAACTCACCCAAGCATTTCTTTCCTTTTTTTTTTTTCAAATTTATTTTTATTTTATGTACACTGTGTTTTGCTTGCATGTACTTTTGTGTGAGGGTGTCAAATATTGGGGATACAGACAATTGTGAGCTGCTGGGGACTGAGCCCGGGGCCTCTGGAAGAACAGTTAGTGCTCTTAACCATTGAGCCATCTCTTCAGCTCCTGCACCTAAGTATTTGTAATTCAAGCCCCAGAAAGTACCAGGACCCAGCTTCTTCATCATTCTGTGCTTTAAAGACACAAGCTACTGCTCTCCCTTTGTCGGCCATATGAGAAAGCGGAAAACATGAACGGCCTAATGCAATGGCCATGAAGGATGCACAGTATATCCCTTATCTCCCTAAACAAATATAACAGCTAACTCAAACATTAATTAATGATCCCCTCTAAAGGACAGCTCAGTCAAAAATAAATCAACATGTATTCATTTGTTGTACATTAAAAAATAACTAGCATATACTTTAGTTTACTTTTAATTATAATTACTGAAAATATCTCAGAGTAACTTATGCCAGTTTATAATCTGTTTTCATCTCTTTTTGGGTTACATTTCCTTTCAATATTAATAAAAAAAATCAATTTTTACAGTCACACCTTAAATAAAGGTAGTAAAATAAAACTTTTTAGAGAACATACCAGGGTTGTGGATCCGATCTAAAAGCTTCACAGAGCGTGCACTGACAACACCACCGACGTGCACAAGAAGTCCAGCGGGGAAGGCCGTCAAGGTGAGGAAGGGGAATTCCTGGTAAAGACAAGAGACAAGACAGAGATGGCCAACTGCACTGTAGAAGGCTCTGCTCATGGAGATCCTAGCATAGGAAATAAGTACACTAGACCTGCTGTTTCATTCAAATTTCTCAGACATTCACAGATCCAAATCCGATTCCCTACATTCTCAGTGGAATTCAAAATCCAGCTGCCTTATTCATTCTGACTGAGGGAAACATTCCTCTCTTCTCAAACTCTTATTCAACACAGTTTCCCAGTGAGGCACACAACTGGACAACCTGGTGACCCATTTGCATTTCTTGGTAAAGTTGTTTCTCACACGTACAGGCAATACAGGTTACTGGTAACTATTCCCAAGACCAGCATGCAACAAGAGACCTAGAGAAACAGAGTATGAGTCATGGAGTAAGAGGGCAGGCAGTGTGGCAGGGTAGGAAAGAGAAAGGTAAACATCCAGGGGAAGTGTGAGCCAATCACTGTGTAGTGAGAGGCAAACAGAAAAGCATAGTGTATGTGAAGCAGACGAGAGAAGTCCATGGTAAGCAAGATGCAGCGGGACCCTGCAGGTTCTTTCAAGCTGTGGCTCCCTTCTGCCATAGAATGACATGAAGAACCCAAAAGAAAACTTAAGATAGGAACTCACCAGAAGAGCACCAGGAGAGGGGAATGTCTGTAGTTGCCCTAACATCGGCCATTTGCAATGACTGCTACCTGACTGGCCTGGCTGTGAGATGACTGTAACTCTTAATGGGAAGTCACTCACCAACAGCCCCAGTTATGCTCAACATAAGGAGTGCTTGGGAAGAGCTCAGGAGAACTCTCCAAGGACTGCAAGTGCTATGGCTCATGCACTGCATGCCAAGGCATCTCCACAGGGGATGCTCTGCTCACACTGGAATAAAGTAGCGACACATACTAAAATGCTTCTCATTTTAAGAATCCGTCGTTCTTGCATTTTCTAGGCTGCAGCAGATTAAATGCAACAAATAAAGGAAAGAGCTATTGCTAAAAGCAGGCACATATAAAAGCAGCAAGACCTCTGGCTGGCTGCTTAAAGCAGGAGTACAAAAACAGCCAAAACACAGTGTGTAAGCAGATCAATTTGCAATCACCAGCACAGAGGAGCAGCCCTGCATCCTCAGGAAGCAAGTTAAAAAGTACACATGGTGTGTGCATATACATCCACACATTAAAGCCTAGTCAGAACTCAGAAGTAACCTTCACCTTAGTAAAGGTAAGAACAGACAAACTGTCTAAGAGGAGTAAAAAGCCTATCCACAGAAGTTGTTTATATGTGACCTAGACTGAAACAAGGATGGAAATAAACGGCATCAACAGAGCCAGAGGTGACTGGTGTTGCTGCTTCTGAACATAGGGAAACTCAGTGCACGGAAGAGTGGTACAGATGTAAAATCATGACAGAAACACAGTAGGTTTTACATAAGTATACACAAAAGCTGTAGTTCTCAACACCTTTGCTTTTGATCCTATGAAGATCTTCTAGTAATGTATGTCCAATGTGTTAACATGTCCAAGATTTTAAACTGTGTAAAAGCACAGCAGAGAAGAGCAAGAGGCCCTTGCAGGTGAAGGTGGCTGCTGCCACGCCTGAGTTCATCTGACCTGCACAGTGGAAGGAGAAGAGCCGCTCCTTTGAGCCATTCTCTGGCCTCCATATGCACACCAAAAATCCCTACATGTTCTCACTCATCTGACATTCCTAGCCTCAGATCCTCAGATGCTAGCATGTGAATATACAACAAAGGGGAACCACAGAAAACCAAGAGAGTACAAAGACCACAGGTGTGGGGACGGGGTGGCGATGAGAGGGGGTGGGTAATATCAAATCCAGGGAAAGGACTCCAGCTGTAGAAGGAAAGGTGAATCACACCAGGGCAACCAAGGTTGTTTGACACACCTACAAGGAATCATATTTTATACTTAAAAGAAATACATAAAAGTATATATATGCATACACACACACACGCACACATGTACACACACACATACACAGATAAAGATGTTATAGAATTTGGCCTGTCAGTGCTCCCCTACAAGAATCATAGACTAACAAAAGCTCCAGTACGAGACATGAAAACCCTTTCAAATGGTTGGTCAGGGCAGTCCAAGTGACTCCTAAAGCAATGAAAACTATCGATATAGACTTTGGTTGTTTCCCAGAAGTCAAGGATGGGCCTCTACTACTAAGAGAGAACTGCAGGTACTTAGAATTCCACACTCAGATGATTTGATCTGCATCTGAAAGCCTCTTTTTTTCTGCAATCTAGCCTCCACAGTACCAGAAAATACTATGCAAGCTGCCAAGAGGGATAAAATTAAATAGTCCTACCCAGCTACAACAGCTATGAACCTTAAAAATGAACAGCATGCAAGATATCCTAATGGCCCTCCATGTGACTCACATGGCTGTGGTACCAACAGCAGTCTAAATAGACTTAAAGCCACTCACAGAAGGGAAATCATATTTGAAGCAACACTTCCCACCTAATGAGGTCATGAACATTAGAAAACAATCTACCACAGTCACATAACTAAGCCAGTGCAATTCCACAACTACAAATCCGATCGGTACACACACAGGTTGGTGCAGCTACCACTCCCTCCTCGGCATGAAGCCTCGCTTTACAGCAGATGGAGGCCATCACAGAAAATCACAACTGGACATGTAGGGATCACAGGGAGCCCGACCCAAAACAAACATCTACATCACAGCTCCTGCATCTATGACACAGAGAACCTCTAGGGACAGGGGACAGAAGAACTGTAAGAGCCCGAAAGTCTGCTGAAACAGTCTCTCCTAGGATGGCAACATAAACAAGCCAGAGCGATAGCAACATCCGTGGACACGCCGACACAGAAGGGGTACAATTTCATGGGATCCTACTCCTAGACAAAGAACTACAAGCAACTAAAAAGACTTCGCTTCTCCCAGGGATGAGCCAGCTTACTGGTTGTCTACACAGAGTAGTCAATCCTGAAACCAGATGCAACAAAAACCATATTTTTGCATATATATGCATATATATGTATACATGGAATAATAATTCTTAAAAAGAGGATATCAACTTGAGTGTAGGTAGACATAGGAGGAGAGGGGGAAGGAAAGAAGGGACTGATGAAATTCTATTCCAATTTAAAACATTAAAACACACACACACACACACACGCAACTTTTACATGGGCATTGTAATCCCAGCATTTGCAAGGCTGAAGCAATATGATCATGAGATCAGGGCTAGCCTGAACTACACAGTGATCCATGGTAGTCTGGTTTCAGATTACATACTATCTCAAAAAACAAAAACAAATAAAACAAAATAAAATCCACAAATTTTATTAAACCCAATCCAAAATAAGTTTACTCTTTTCTCCATGAAATTGCCAAAAAGTACATTAAAGTCACCAGTACTTCACATAGTCACATTTTCAGTACACTCAATTCATCAATCAACTGGATTAAAAATGGGAGAAGGTAAAGCTAAAACTACTCTACCAAAAACATGGTAAACAGACATCCGCACCTCCACTCTGGCCCTCTTCTTCATAGCTCTGACCTTTGGCTCTGTTTGGTTTTTATCCATGACGACTGGTGCTATTGAAAAGGTGAGAGTAGCTGAAAACTGGGTATAAAACAAAGAACAGGGCTAGAGCAGGTGCTGGGACACCTCTCAGTGGGAAGATGCTTGCCTAGACAAGACCTAACAAGACCTAACGAGGCGTTGGGCTCAGTCCCAAATACCTGGAGGAACAAGACCTGGGGAGAGCTCAACTTGACTCTGCTTCAGCTCTGCCTGCTCCACCCTTGTCAAAAAGGTAAAACAGTGTGTGTGTGTGTGTGTGTGTGTGTGTGTGTATGTATGTGTATATGTATATGTATATGTGTATATATATATGTATATGTGTGCATATGTATACATATAGTATGTATGTATACATACTATATGTATACACACACATATATATATATATTGCAACTTGCAGCATAAGAAAAAAATAAACTTACTGACTGCAGTCATAGAATCAGGAAAAAACCAGACTATTCTCAGAATCAAACTGCATCAGGAGGGTACGCCTTTTATGGGCTTCACTATTTTTATGGGTCTCACCTTTGTTCCCTCCCAAGTACTGGTGTAAAACGAACACACAAAACAAACTTCTCTAAGTGCTTACAGCTTCCAAAGCAGACACAAAGAAAGCTGTGGAGCTGTCTGAAGCACAGGACAGAACACAGGGAACCATGCACGGCGTTCGTTAGCAGAAAACAGCATGAGCCTCACAGTACCAAGTTCAGAAAATGCTAGCAACAGCTGTTAAAAGCTCAAATAAAACTTAAGAGAACACGATTAAAAGTAGAGAAGCTTCTAGCACAAGGAACAGGCTCTCATACATTTAGAAACATACCCGCCTTCTACAGAACCTATGAGGCGATCCTCCCTTAGCAAGGACATTTATAAAGAGAGAGAGAAAAAAAATCATCCAACAACTAGACTCAGTTTCTCACTCAACACATTAAGTAAACATTATATGTGATCATTTAAATAAACATATTATACTAGACAGTCAGGCTTAACTTTAACCTACAGAGAATAGAATCCATGTCTCATATCTAATAAACAGGACAGTGACAAAAGTGACACCAACAGGTAAATGTTAACATACTACAGCGCCAATTTAAGGGACCATTACTGAGATGGTTTTCTGCAATAATACTAACCATTTTCTCCTCTATATTGCAACTTTAAAGAAAACTAGAAATGATTTCAGCATTCAACGGGTATTTTCAGAAGAAATATTTTAAAGATTGGAAAAAGTTAAAATTCAATTCAAATATCTTAAAGAGCTCTACAAAACAGAAGAGTTACAGATTTTTTTTAAAACTAAAAATATTGGTGAATAAGTTACTTTGATATCTTAGATACATCTGAACTTTAAAGCTGCAACGTTATAGATAATGATGACAAGCACCTCTCCGAAGCTCTTAAGCCCCAGGAGCACAGGCACACAAGGCCACGCGACAGAGCAAGGATAGAAAGTGGACTCTTACCCGCTGCTCCAGCGCTGACTGGGTCTGTTGCCGTAAAAGAGCTTTAAAGGGCCCCCCTTCTTTTCCAGCACTCCCACTGCCCATTCCTACAGGACATCAGCATGTAAACAACAACCGAGTAACTACAAAACAGCAAGCTCAAGTGCGTTCATCTTCATAGACAGTGTGTCAAAATACAAGAAAATCATCCACATATTTAACATACTTTGAGATTGTAACTAACACATGTATTTTACTCTACAATACTAAAAGTTTCTTTAAAGTAAGATATCAAAGTTATGGTCAAAGCTTGTTTTAGAATCAATTTATTCTAATAAGAATATTAACACAAGGTAACAAATCTTTGATAATATTCAATATTTAAAAGTTGATAATTTTAATAAAAATAATCAAAAGAATAACTCTTACTAAGATAACAATTTAAACACATCAAAATATCTGGTGAACTATGGGGAGAAACATAGTAGGTGCTCAAGTGAAAACTACAGGAGAGCTAAGAGTGCATCAGCCTTCAGAATGAAGCTTACTCTGCTGATGCCCTCCTCTCAACATGGAATGTGTTCATTAACAAAAATCAACACACACGTGTAAACACATCACAAATGTACATAGTCATGGATGAAAGAATTCTACTTCCTCACCCTTAGATGTATTTTAAGGCTAATATTACATCCTTTCCCTAGCACTTTTTGTTGTTTTGAAAGTAGCACAAGGACAAATATGGCCCAAGACTTGTATGGAGATGGGATGGCTCAGGCTAGTGCTGGGGTGAATCCCACCCTCTCAAAGCTAAAGACACATCCAGTCAAGTTCACTGCAGTGCCGTAGGGAGAAGCTAATTCACGTTCATATTTTTAGCTGTTCTTGGATAAGGAAACAAGAGTTAGCATGTGTGTAGTCCCATTCCGTTCTTTGAAAACAAAAGTTTTTCTTATAGCAATCTTAAGGTTTATAGAGACTATACAATGCTAACTGGAAATAAAACTAAGATCTTTATATGAAGCGCATTAAAAAATCACAAAATAAAAGGTAAGCTTGCAGTGATAAATAAAGTACCATAAAACATAGCAGAAAAACTTGATTAATGTAGTGGAAAGAAAACAAATGTATAATAAAAGAATAGCACCAAAATGAGACTTAAACTGGTTCAAACAGAGTCATTTTCTCATGTAGCCTTATGGTTTGGCAACAGGATGGCACAGGTCTGACGTGGATGGAGCAGGTATGGAGAGAGGGGAGCAAAGCATCTACAACAGACACCTGGGTGAGAACCTAGGCACTGACAATTACAGTAAACATCCACATCTTGAGACACAATTTTTGTTAAATATAAAATTTAGTGACTACTCATAATTATCCATCAAGTAACCTCCAATGGCATCTTTGTAATTCTGATTAACTCTGTCAGTAAAATCACTAATAGACATATAAAGCACACAATCATTCTTTATGGTATAAAATAATATGTTTTCAAAGATGATTTAAAATAAAGGGATTATTTAAAAAGCTGACATAATGTGATCCTACCAGAAGCAGCCAGGAACAACTCTTCACTGAAAGAAACACTTTTCCTCAGAACAGGGCTGACAAGGCTAGAGTGATGAGGGGTAAGGCTAGATTCCGAGAGGAGGCGGGACTTAAGGTGAAGGGAACCACAAGAGAGGGGGGTGGAGCTGGGACCCAGGTAGATCCCCGGCCCCTGTGGGTAAGGTGCTGTGGAGGAAAGTAGCAAAGATGCAGATTCAGAAGATGATCAGAAAATGCAGGAGAAGGAAAGCAGTGACGAGCAAAACATAACAATCAAATGGATTCAAATGCAGACAAATAAACACCAAGCTTAGGAACCCACCCACCCAGAGCCCTAGCCAACATAATGCAAACCAAGGACACCTTCTAAATTAACATAGCCCTTTCAAATTCTGCAGTCATTAAAAAACTTTAAATCATTAGCACGATTTTATACCATTACATCACTTTTAACTGGCTTCTTCAAATAATTAAATTGCCCCCCAATTTATGTTGGTTGGTTGGTTGGTTGGTTGGTTGACTGTGTTTAAGAACTTGTATGGCTGAATAACCACCACTCTACATTACAGTGAGATACTTGTTGCTTCAATCCTAAACACTTACTTAAAGTAGCAAATTTTGGCACCTTCTAATGTTACTAGCTAAGATACCACATATTTTTGTGTTAACGGGATACTCATTAAAAAAATAATCAGAGTATTGCATTATGAATTCAAAATAGCTAGGTTTTTGCTCTCCAGTTTTGAGGTAAACATTAATCCTTTTATCTTTCCTCTAAAATGTTTCATACTTTAATCTGATCATAGTACTATGAGAGATTTGCATGTAAAGGTCAAATACCCTATGTACTGTAAAAAATATATACACTCACCCTGCCTAAGAAAGTAAAGTCAACTCAAATCAAGTAAACCTCTGTCATATACCCACACCAGCACTCAAAAACTCCAGGCCTAGTAATTAAGAACCTGGGGAAAACATTTTTAAAATCTCATTTTTAAAAATGTTATAAATTAAATTCTAATAAAGTATGAAAAAATGTTAAGAAACTAACAAAACTACATTCATTATAAACAGAAAAATAGCTTTCTCATGCCACCCTTTATTGCTCTATTCGTAACTTCTCGGTTTATAAACAGTAAGTCAGCTTCTATTTCTCAGACAACTGACAGAGGCAAGAACGGATGCTCATGGAACCTCAGCTTTAGAAGGTTTAGAACATGACTCTGTCACTCCATAACTGAGAAGTGACAAGCCCCCTACAGATCACGCAAAGGTGGCAAAGGGCTCAACAGGCTACTAAGGTGGCAAACAGAGCACCCAGAGTCAGCTTATAGGTGGGTATGTCAGAGTTGCACCCTTCATAAGGGAGGTTTGAAGAACCAGTATTACAGAAGCCCTTGTTTGCACATCTGACGCCAGTCAGAAAGCTTCCATCACTTATGACTGTACAATCATTATGTTTGTCATTTTGTGAGAATTAAGAAACAAAAAATGCCATAAAAACAAAAAATACTTTCTAAGCTTTATGTGGTGTGGCAAAACATAATCAGTAAGCATATTGAAAAATAGCTTAGAACCCAGTGAGCAGACCAAAGCTTCAGAGGTATGGTCACATCTCCTTGTTTATGAGAGCACACCCAAGTCCCAGCCACACTCACAAGGCAGAGACCAGCCTCAGCAACTTAATAAGATCTGGTCTCTGAACGTCTGCAGGAGCTGAGGAAGACGCTGAGGTGGAGTGCTTGCCCAGCATGCATAAGGTGCTGGTTTCGTCTCCAGCGCCTACAAAGGCTCAGAGGAGACGATACCATCCCATCTATCTTGTTCTGAGTGTCATAAACACTAAGGCCAGTCTCTCCTATTCCTTTTTTTTAAAAATTCATCACAATTTGAATGGTTCAATTTTTATGGCAAAGACAGTTAAAATGCCACATTCCAAAGCATCTACTACTATAAAATGCTACCATATTTTTCCCTGTTATTCATAATTCTATACAGTAAGGCTTTAGCATCTGTAAGGAATGGTGCTGAGGCCACCACCATGACCACCATCCCAGGAACAACTACTACAGTTTCTTATACAAAATGGAGAGTGTTCTCTGCAAATAACCTTTGCATAGCCTCCTGCCTATTTGAAGTCATCTTTATATTACTTATAATACCTAACACAATGTAGATGCTAAGCCAGAGCAGTTCTAACGCGTTATCATCTAGGCAAAAAGAGAACAGGAAAATCTGCCTGCACTGGGAGGCAGGATACAGTCTTTTCTCAGGGACTTCTGATCTGCAGTTGGCTTAATGGGTTAAAACTGAGTATATATTTAAAAATAAAGTAGCTGTCAAAATAGACTGTGTTAGAGAGGTGTGACAGGAATGGTAATAAAAATACAGAAATGGGTGTTTATAGTGTTTATATTGTGACCAAATTTATAAAAAAAAGAAAGAAATTAAATCTATAATAAATAAGATTTTGCTTTGATTGTTTTCAAAAAATCTGGATCCATTTTATAAATTCTTCTAACACTAAAGTAAAACATCAAAGGTTATTAAAGATGATAAATTCAAAATAATACAAATAAAAATGATTTTAGTCAATCTGATAGGAAAACTATTTCTAGTACTTAAAATACTAGAAATAGTAAACCTTTAAATTTTCAATCTTTCTTTAAAATTTTATTTAAGTAATTGAATTCTCGCCGGGCGGTGGTGGCGCACGCCTTTAATCCCAGCACTTGGGAGGCAGAGGCAGGCGGATTTCTGAGTTCGAGGCCAGCCTGGTCTACAGAGTGAGTTCCAGGACAGCCAGGGCTATAAAGAGAAACCCTGTCTCGAAAAAAACCAAAAAAAAAAAAAAAAAAAAAAAAAAGTAATTGAATTCTCTCATAGAAGCTAATTTAATCTTTTATCAACTTTTTATCAAAAAACATTAACAAAAACCCAGAAACTATTCATAAAACAAAAAGAAAGGGGTAATTATAAATTTAATAAATTGAAAAATACTCAAGGATGAGAAAAATTTAAACTGCAGTTTCAACCTGGAGAGCGAGAGTAGCAATGCTAAGCACCTGATGGTATAAACTTGATATCAAGAATGACTAGCTAGTTAAAATGTCACTCTCCAAACAAAATAATTCCTCTATAAAAAAAATTTTAAAAACCAAAATGATCAATATTTATATTACCTTTTAAGTTAGCATGTAAACAAATTAACAAATAGATGTGACTAATATCACATCCTCTTTAATTTTTTTCGTTTTCTGTTTTCTAGTTAAACTCAAGGCAATACTCTACACTGAGCTTACCTTAAGCCAAAAATCAGATGAACTGTACTGTACTATACAACTATCTCATTCTGAACTATCCCCATAATAAAAACACACAACTAAGATTCTGAAATGAAAATGAATAAGAAATAAATTAATCAGATGCTTAAGAGGAACCATGGTTCAAAACTGCAACCCAATTGCAGACCTCTAGGGTTGCTATGCAAATGCTTTAAGATGGCATTCCTCTTGACTTCAACATGAAATGAAGAATGTCAATACCCAAACTAAATTCTGAACTTAATATCAACAATAATTAAATTAATTAAAATGTCACTTTCCAAACAAAATAGTGTCTCTACAAAAAAAAAATTAACCTTAATAACGGAAATGATCAGCATTCACATTAACTTTAACTTAAATGCAAAATCAGGAGGAAAGGTTTGGATGGGCAGCTAACAAGGAACAGAAACAAGTTCTTACAGGAAACACAAACGGTGGGTGGAAGCGCCTTACCAGTCTTGGGTGTCAAACTCAAATCTGTGTCAGAAGAAGAGGACTGCCGACTGTAGGACTTGGAAGGTGAAAAGGAATAAGTTTGGTTTTTCAGAGGGGTTGAGGGTCCTGATGAGTGAGGATTGGGATTGGGATCCTCATTGAACGGAAGCCTGCCAGAAGAAGGTGGAGACATATTAAGCCATCATGTGCCAAAGGGCTTGACAGTTGGCAGCATGATCCAACCATCAGGAAAGAACTGGGGTGGGGCCGGCAGTCATTTCTTAAGTGTGGAGCTGGGAATGAGGCCAAGGACAAAGAACTGCTGTTTAACCATTCATCATTCTCCAGATAAATATTATCTGCATTGAAACAGTTAATAAGCCAAGTGGAAAAGCAAAGAAGCATGAAATGGTAGACTAATGGGGATTAAAATATATATATATAAATATATTAAAAGGAGAAACAAAAAATAAATAACAAAATATTTTAAATAAATGTTTTTGTAAGTTACAAACGAAAGTGATGGCCACAAATGGTGTGTGGAAATATCTGTAACTATCTTCATATTTACACACACGTAAGTATCTCTGAAAGAAAACCTGTTTCCTTATCCTATAGCATCAGAGTGCTACAGCTAAAAACACAGCAGCGAAGAGGACAACACGTAGAGCTACATAGAAACACTGCATTGATGCACACAGTTGCTTACCTGTTTTTCCAATAACCCTCTTCCACAGAATCAAACAGACCCTACTGCCTCAAAACCCTACAGACTTTGTACATAAAGAAAATAAGCAGATCAAAGTGGTGGTGTCTACTTCACTTCGAAGTGTATTAATTTCAATTCTAAACAACACAGAAATGTTCATATGAATACAATTAGAGGGCTCTCAGAATGCAAAACACAAAATCACAGGGCTCAGAGAGGATCTGTGGAAGAGACTCTGGAAGCTGAAAAACCCCTTCACTTCCATAGTCAGAGCCTTTGTGTCAGCTAAATAGAAGTCCTTCAGTGAAGCTGGAGCAAATGTAAGAAAGGGAAGAAGTAAAGTCTCATGGGACCTGCCTACACTACCTGCCTGCCTGCCTGTCTCTGCAGCCACTGTGTCCGTGGCCTGCCTCTCCCCAGCTCTGGCGTCTGAGCAGTCTCGTACCAGTATAGATGAGAGTGGGAACAGACACAGAGAAGTTCTGAGTGAGTCGTGAGCCAGTAGCAGTGTGAATTGGGCTGTTGTGAGTCGAGCGGCATCCATGGCTTGGAGGATGAACCAGCGGAGACCTGAAGGAATTTGTGGTCAAAGTGGAAGAAAAGAAAACAACACATACAACAGGTTGCAAAAGCTATGTTAAAATTATTTCAAAGGAGCTTTTGTTAAAGGAGAAAACTTATATTTTAATTCCTAGCACGCAAAAAGTTGAAATTAAAAGAGAACCGCTAATAATTAATGTGTTAGGATAGATAATTTTAAAGAGTCAGATTAGTAAAATCAAGAACTGTCAATAAGAAAAACAGCAAGCATAATTGTCAATGGAACTAAGAAAGACTACTAAGACTTGAATTTTAAGGTTTTTATCTTTAACATACTTGCTTTCATTCTCATCAAAACAGGACTTCCTATTATATTTATGGGAGGGATCACCCACAAAAGTGAAAGGTCAAATACAGAGTTGACATGTTCTTTAAAACTAAGATATAAATTGCTTATACCATTACTTATATCTTTCTAAGAGGAAAGTTTAGTAATTACTTATGTTTTTATAGCCAGAATTTGCAGAGTAAGGTACCTAAGAACATAAGGACTGGCAGCAGGAAGAGAAACGGCGTGAGGGACGGGAGTGGACATGAGCGGGGCAGCTCAGCCTCTAACAGACGGCAGAGATGCATCAATGCAGGCTAATGCTAATGTGGCTCCAGACTGCAAGAGGATACGGCTTCAAACTGACGCAGGACAGATGCTCTGCTGCTGTGGGTAACATGAATCCAAACGCGCTTAGGATGACTGACACAGCAAAGCTCTTGGAGGTGGCCTGCTTTTACATACACAACTGAGGGAATGGGGTCTTCTCTCTGCTAAAGTGAGGAAGGGCCTTCAAATTCCTCAACTTGGTTATTCCGTGCACACAAGAGCTCACACTTAGGTCCCTTAGAAAGCATTTTGTGTGCAGAGCAGTGATGAATCACATGGAATGCAACTTCCCCATGAAGCTCAGTGAGGAAAAGCAAAGGGATTTGTTTTGCTACCAACAGTTAAAAGAAGAGACTTGCGGAGAGAGAGCGTGCATGTCATTAATGCAAGTAAAATGTTAGGGACACTGTAAAGCTTCCAAGTGTGATATCAAATCAAAGTTCAAGTATACTGGAGCACTACCACGATGTATTCTGAGTTCAGACCGTCTCCTTGTATGGAAGTTTGTCTCAAAAGAACACAATCCAGTGTTTAACTCATTCACTGAGATAACCTATTAAATCCAAGCTGTTCCCTTTTACCAAATTCCAACCTAAAACCAATAATGTTATGTAATAACCAAAGATGACATCCGTTATAATAAGAGAAATCATAATTAATGTTAAAACGTCACATAAACTGATTCCTGTAACAAATACAGGACAGCCAGTTGAAACAGAGCAGCCTAAATCCTGAGGGGTTTCGAAACATGGCCTACATTGTAAGATGCCTTCCCAATACCCTAATAATGCATGGTAGACAGTTCACTCTATGACTCACTATTTAAAGTCAATGGCTGTGACGGGAAAGGAGAAAAACAATCCCGCCAGGGATTATTCAAAGTCTCCTCATGAGTGTAACTCTGTTGTTTATATCTTTCTAAGGTCTGTCAAGTAAAACACTTTCTTTTCACTCAAAACTTGGTGTATAGATTACTTTAGACATGAACCTTCAGAAGCCCACATTCTTGACATTTAGGTAAAACTAGATGGGGGCAAGCAGACTCAGGTCTTGTGCGTGCATGCGTATGTGTGTGCATGTGTGTGTGTGTGTGTGTGTCTGTGTGTGTCTGTGTGTGTGTGTGTGTGTGTTTTAGAGGCAGAATCTTACCAAGTAGCCCAGGCTGCCCTCCAACTTGAGAGTGTCCTGCCTTTCAGCCTCCCAAACACTGAGACTACAGGCATGTACCATGGTAATTGGCTTCCAGAAGCAAGTCTTTCATGAGATTTGCTATGGGAAAGGGGTAGTGTCTGAATCTATATGCAATCTAATTCCACAAGGATGAGCTAAACGTTCATGGTTTTTAGGACAAATTTATATTTATTCATTTTTATTACAGGATTGTGAACCACACATCTAGAACCTCATGTATGTTAGGCAATACTTTAAATATCTCCAGCCTTAGGACACATTTTAATGGAACATAAAACAAACAGAGGTTACAACTTTTTAATTAATTTCATTTGCAAGTACACTTCCCAATTAAACTTGCTACTACTGTGCTAAATTTTGTGAGAAAAATTTAAATAACTAAAGACCTCCAAAAGAGTAGGCTAAACAAATGTATGCTCAAGATAAGGAAAATTGCCTTTTTCAATAAGATAATAGAAAAAAAAAAACTTTCTTGAGATTTGCAATTGTTTCCATTTCCTTTCTGCTGACTACTGCTGAACTAGGAAATGGGTTACACTGTTCATCTACAGAAACCTGGCCCCCTAATAATCTAAACTAGAAAAAAGCCAAAAGACGACAAGCTGAGGCTGCTCTATAAATGAATATATAAATGCTATCATCTGCTCTATAAGTGAAGCACTCACTAGTTTGTGTAGCTGATGCGACAATGGAAGAGTTACATGGTAGCATCATCAAAGGTTACAGTATCTGTCTGTCCTACCTGAGCACATCATTTTCCAAGCCTCAACTCAGAACTACTTCTAGATCACTGGTCCTTACAGAACTAATGGCATCTCACTTACACAGAGTTCTTCCAGGTACATAGATGAGTTAGCATCTCTGGTCCCCAACAAGACTTTTAACATAATTATTACAACAGAAAAAAAATCATTCCAACATCCTCTACTGACAGTTCAGAAGAGTACTTAGCTAAAATACTTGAGAACAAGAGCATCGAGCATCTTAGATTTTACAATATTTGAGTAAACTTCACTAGCTGAGTACTTCTAACCTAAAAACCTCCAAAATCTAAATGCTCCAAAACCCAAGGCTCTTGAGGACTGGTATTGTTTTTCCAGTTTTAGAGTATTCCAGATTTAGTATTTTCTGATTAGGCATGGGCAAGCTATCTCTCACCAACCATACTCAGAATCTGCCTTTGAAACAAGTGAAAAACCACAGACCAAGTCAATCACAGAGACAAGCCTGCCTAACGAGGTGTACTGACTACTTTTATGTCAACAAGACACATGCTAGTCATCTGAGAACAGGGAACCTCTATTCAGAAAAATGCCTCCGTAAGATCTGGCTGTAGACAAGCCTGTAGTGCATTTTCTTAATTAGTGAGGATGGAAAAGCCCATTGTGGGTAGTGCCATCCCTGGGCTAGTAGTCCTGGGTTCTATAAGAAAGCACAATGAGCAAGCCATGAGGAGCAAACCAGGAAGCAGCGCCCCTCCATGGTCTGCATCAGCTCCTACCCCCAGGTTCCTACTCTGCTAGAGTCTTGTCCTGACTTCCTTCAATCATGAACAGTGATGCAGAAGTATAAGCCAAATAACTCCTTCTACCCCAAGTTCCTTTGGTCATGGTGTTTCACAGCCATAGTAACCCTGATTGGCTGTACTGAGCACACAACCTTCAAGCAATCTATAAGTCTAAATGCCCTTAGATCATGGGCTGGGAACTCTTTTGAAGGGATTTCTTATACTTGTTGCTGTTGTTGTTGTTGTTGCTGTTGTTTTTGTCTAGTACTAGGTGGGAGGGTGCTTTCCAGGTTTTGTTTGTTTTCTTTTATGAGGTGTGTGTGTGTGTGTGTGTGTGTGTGTGTGTGTGTGTGTTTTATAAATAAAAACAGTCTAAACTGCCAGTGTCTGAAATATTTAATACCTGGTCTTTCAAAGCAAAGGTTTACTTAAGCATGCACAGTGCTGAGCTCCATTACAGCTCCTATAAAGCTAAGGATAGCCTGAAGCCAAGAATTTTGGGTCAGCCTGGGCAACAAAGTGAGAACCAGCCTCTAAAGAGGAAAAGAAAAGATTAGAAGAAAAAGGAAAGAAGGAAGAAAGGAGGGAGGGAGGGAGGGAGGGAGGGAGGGAGGGAGGGAGGGAGGGAAGAGGGAAGGTGAAGAGTAGGGAGAAGTTTGCTCACCTTGCCTTACACAACCCAGTACAGCTACTTAATGAGACCCAAGGTTTGATTTTCATGAACTGCCTAGACACGGGAGACACTGGAGCCTGAGAACCCTATAAGGACAACCTGCAGTCTTCTTTACACATTGCCAACAGTAAACATAGTTGCAGTTAAGCATCTCCTAGAGCAGAAGGCAAGTTCCACACAGGACATAAATATTCATTTTATGCTTTGGATAGATGATTCTAAAGATCTGAATTATTTAAGAAAAATCACATAAGTAAAAACCTGTATGCTGAACCCTACTACCAAGATGTGAGAACAAAGGGAGCTGGCAGGTAGGAGACAGAGCCCTCCGTGAGAGACGTGCACTGAGTCATACTTACTCCTTCATTTCTTTGGATGGGGAATTGCATGCAGGAAGGAATGCTGCTGGGCTACTTAATTTATCCAGAGTACACGCTGTTCCTATGGCTCGTACCACTAACCCAGACTCGCCTTCCAGATCAAAGCACTGCAAGTACCCAACAACTGCATTTCCTCTCATCTCAAGGACTTTCAAGCCAATCTTTCTCTGTAATTCACCTATGGAAAGAAAGAAACTCATTTGTAACTCCATATCTCTGTATTACATACTTTTAAGAGAAAGAATATAATAGCAGTACAAAAACAAAAAAAAAAAAAAAAATTAAGCATCAGAGATTCTCAGAATTTGATGAGAACGTAGAGAACGTAAAAGGTTGCCTGGTCCAGGCTCCATGGAGGGAGGTAAGATGCTACAAACCGAAGCATGGTGAGTAAAGGCTCACTCATCCATCCTTGTGCCCTACTGAGAAAACGTTTTCAGTTCTGCACTGTTTGCTGCCATTCTTCTCATGTCCAAGGTGCTAGATAGGTGGCTGAACAAGAAAGACATGCTTCAAATCTAGGAAATGGAGGGACAATTCAATGACTCAAGTTCTGCTGTGCAAGCATGAGGACCTGATTTCAGAGAGTGTGTCTGTGTATGTGTGTGTGTGTGTGTGATAAGTATGTATTTACATATGTATGTATGTATGTATGTATGCATGCATGTATGTATATTAAAAAACAATCTGAACTCTGACAATATAGCTCTATAGCCCTATACTCCCAGCAGTAGAGTCCCTGGGGCTTCCTGGCCAGCCACTGTGGCCAACTGGTAAGCTCCAGTTCAATGAGAGATTCTGCCTCAAAAACATAAGGTGGAAGGTGATCAAGGAAAAAAAAAAGAAGAGATGTTAATGTCTGGCCCACGCATATATACACATATATATGTAGCCACACACACACATGCACATATACACTCACACAAACAGAAACAAGTTCCACATATACTGGCGTGTATCTACTATTAGCCAGGCAAGTAGTAGAGAAAGTCAGAAGGGTTACGTCGTCAGGTCTCAACAAAGAACTGAGCACAGGTAACATGTGAGCAAAGATACACAGTTTGCCTAAGCTGTGATCCCAAATGATGCTGCAGAAATTACAACTGCTTCCTGCTCAGAGTTCCTTCCAGAATCTACAGAATTCATCCCTTATATTATACACTTATAACAGAATGTCCTTTTGCTATCCAGTTAAGACAAATTTCAAGGGGCCAGGCGAACAGCTCAGTCAGCAAAGTGTTTGTACTACAATAAGGACTTGAGTTCAATTCCCAGAACTGATGATTTACAAAAAAAAAGAAAGAAAGAAAGAAAAAAAAGAAAGAATAGTGGCTCACATTTGTAATCAGAACACTGAGGAGATGGGTTCCTGGACATCAACCAGCCAGTCAGACTGGTCTGGTGAGTTCCAGACCAGAGCAAAACTATGTTTTAAAAAGTAAAAAAAAAAAGGAGACTTCCGGTCTGGGCCCGAGCATAAAGCAGGTCACAGACAGCAGCTCTGTACCCAACCCCAGAAAACCGAGAGAAAGAGGGACTCCCAGGAGCTTGAACTCAGGCAGCTTCCCAGTGCTACTTTCCAACATCTACCCATACTTTTTCCAGTTGAATCTCAGATCCCTCCATTTCCACTCACAATTTTTCAAACTGCTCAGCCAATCTCCCAGTCATTTAGAGACAGAATATAGGAGAAATAAGAGGAAGAGGAGGAGGAGGAAGAGGAGGAAGAGGAGGAAGAGGAGGAAGAGGAGGAGGAGAAGGAGGAAGAGGAAGAAGAGGAGGAAGAAGAGGAAGAGGAGGGGGAGAAGGAGGAAGGAGGAGGAGGAGGAAGAGGAGGAGGAGGAGGAAGAGGAGGAATAGGAGGGAGAAGAGAAGGAGGAGGAAGAGGAGGAGGAAGAGGAGGGAGAAGAGGAGGAGGAAGGAGGAAGGAGGAAGAGGAGGAAGAGGAAGAGGAGGAAGAGGAGGAGGAGGAAGAGCAGAAGGAGAAGGAGAAAGAGAAGGAGAAGGAGAAGGAGAAGGAGAAGGAGAAGGAGAAGGAGAAGGAGAAGGAGACGGAGAAGGAGAAGAAGAAAATTCCTTTGGGAGCAAATGTGGGGTGGCAGTGGGGGGGGGGGGGGGGCAGAACCTATTGACGGTAGCCACAATAAACTTTCTGCTATGTCCTGAAAAAAAAAACACTTTTTTTTTTTTTTAACAAACAGTGATTGAGGAACACTAGAGGTTGCTCTGTGGTCTCTACAATGACACACAACTGTGTGTTCACATGTACGTGTACACACACACACACACACACAATCTGATTTAGATCTCTATTTGTAAAAGTGTTCAATTGTTCGATGGGATGGTACCTGGGTTAAGGAATCAACACTTAAAATTCACGACCTTTGTTGTAAAATTTCAAGGACCATGTGAAAGGAAAGTGAAGATTTTCAGACTAAGTCAACCATCAGAAGAGCTGCTTCCCTAGAATACCTGACATTAAGGAGATGAGTCTCTGCCTGGCTTCATTCGACGCCCTTGGTGTGCGGATTCGATCGATCCACTGATACTCGGGGTCCTCATTGACCACCAGCTCTTCTACAAATCCATGGATTACCACAGCTCTGTAGCACTTTGGAATCGATGTCGCTGTTAAAGTAAGTTAGTTATTATTCTTTAATAAATCACAAAGCCAAACTTAAATCTCTAAAACATATACATATAAACAAAAAAAGAAAAAGTATCCATCCAGCTTTTGTTTTAGATCTAGCGCAAGAGTATCTACTACAAAACCTCAATGCAATTATGAGTTCTCAGAGAACCTGTTACATCTGTCTTATCCGAAACATAATTTCCTGTCATCAGACCTCTCACTTTTCTCAGTAGGAATAACAAACGTAAACTGTACATTCATGATTCAGAGAATAGCTAGACATTAAATAGAAAATCAAAATATCAGAGTATCACATGAATCTGTACAAGTTAAAAATAAATTTATGTAAACAAAACCAAAGTTGGCTAACCGACGAAACACAAAGGCAGTGTCTTTCCATTCTTACGCTACAGCCCCCTGTGAACATGCTGACAAGTCCTACAGACCTGCCGTTCCTAGCACTACCCATGGCTATATAACCAACTGGTGCAGTAGTCACAGTACTCAGTACTGTGTACACAGTACTCAGTACATCGATCCATTTGAGACTCACTGAAATAAATGTATGGTTGGATTTATGTAGGATCTAGTCAGATTCAAAAGGGGGACCACTCATACCAGTCTCTCAAAAGTGTACTCCCACGCTGAGGATGACTGCTTTGGGTGCTCACCCACTAACAGAGGTTGGTGCTGAGCTGCCAGAGCAGACCCACACACGTGACATCCTGGGGCATCATGGGTGCAGGCTGCACTGGTCCACAGTGCGGTCCACAGCTCTGTTCCTCACTCAGCATTCTATACTACAGCAAAATGCCTCAGGGCTTTTCTTACAAAAATCTCTTAAGGACTTGTAAAAATTAGACATCATTTACTTTAAAAAAAATAAACAGTCACAGCTACAGCAACTGTTTCTAGAAATTTAACAGTTTTCTCTTATATCAAAACCAAACTCTAACTTCTTCCATTAATCCTTCTGCGTATTAGTTTTCCATATTTAAAAATTACTAACTTTTCTGTTAAACAAGACAATATAATACTTACTGCAAAAGAATTTAACTCCACATGAAGACTGTCTAAATCTGTTTAAATCATTGAAGAGGTCTACTTTGACAACAACATTGATTTCTCCACGGATACCTTCAGATTTAAAAAAGAAAATCAAGTTTCTAAGTTAAGAAAATGTACAATGAAATTGTGACACAAACAGATGCACTTACTGCTCTTCAGATAATGTACAGTCTTAAATACACGGCTAGCTGTGCTGCCTATGTAGTCTCATTCCCAAAAGGTCCTCGGTACACTAAGGGTGAGCATGAGACAGCCGGAGAAAAGCACTGTATCCACAATCACCACTGCCTCGTCCATGTGACCCAGGACTCCCTGAGGCATGAAGTCCCACTTGAATGGATGGTGGCAGTGGTGGAAGGACTTGGTGAGTCCTGGGACACTAAATGCTCTGTGTGCTGACATCAACCCAGTGAGCTCATTCCTGCAGTAGCACCATCCTTGTTTTAAAGAAGAAATCAGCATGTAAGTAAAGTTTACTAACTTACATAGTGCCGGTAACTAACAAGCAGAAGGGCAAGAATAAAACTCAGCTCCCAGTGACACCAAGGATACACTCCTACACCACATGGACTGGATTGAACATGAGAGGTTTATCCATGGGCTTTCAGAGCACGCTGCCATAAAATGAAATGACCCAGCCCTACTACTAAACATTTACTAACTACCTTTACTTGACTGTCTTCATCTCTTAATAACTACTAAGAACAGCCTTTAGAACTTACTAAAACAAGAAGAGATATTTCAAACACAGAGCCCATGTTAAGCCAATTATAAACAACCTTTAATGTTAAATGTTAAGAAATTAAGTCATGTGGTAATGGTGGTGGTGAGAGGCAGAGGCAGGTGGATCTCTGAGTTCAAAGCCAGCAGAGCAAGGACAGCCAGGGATACATAGAGACACCCTGACCTGAAAAACCAAGAGAAAAAAAATACTGTTGGGAAACTATTTCGTGCACATAGCTGTTTATTGCTTTAGTCTGGGTCCATGACTAGCTCTTTAGCATGACTGACTGGCTAATAAACTGCAGGGATTTCCTGCCTCCACCTCTCCAGTTCTGGTGTTACAGAAGATGCTATGCTTAAACACGGGTGCTAGGAATCTGAACTCATGTTCTTTTTCCAGTTAGATGAGCAAGTATCAAAGTTTTTCGGTCACAGGATGCCTTTCCAGTCTAAAAATTATTGAGAACTCCAAGAAATTTTTATAAACTTTTCCAATATGTACCAAAATTAAGGTTGCCAATTTTTAAAAATTTAATCATTGCTTTCTTCACTCATTAAAAACTGAGCTATTTTCTAAAACACTTTTTGCAACTCCTACTGTCCACTTCTGCTTTACATGCCATAACTCCTCTAAACGCGTGAGAAACTGAATACAAGCATGGATGACATGGACTGTGAAGAGAACAGCTCTCAGCTCACAAAGCCCACAAGAGCCAGCAGTGCAGGGACTCCGTGTGCTCCTAGACTACAGACTAGCCTCCCAAATACTGGGACTAAATGCATATACCTTTATCTATGGATAATCCAGCTTTAAATAACTAAAAAAAATGAGTCAGTTAGAAAACATATTTTAAAAATATAGACTACCGAGACATCATTATTCTGTACTTACTTTTTCTTCTTTCTTTTGTCAGTGCTAGAGACCATCCCAGAGTACAATGCTGGCTAGGAAATGCTCCAGCAGACCCACCCCACCCCTTGAGACAGCTTTTAAATGACACATTTCCTTTGTCTGTCACATGGAACCTTAACTGCTCAGAGAAACGGTGATTCTCTCAGCAACATCTGGTTACTTGTCTGTTTTCCAAGATGTCTTTTAGAAATACGATGTTAAAAAGAACAGTTAAGAAGTACAAGCATCCTTCAGGTAAACAGAAGATCAAGCTACAGTTCATTTCCTTCCAGTGTCACTTCTTACCATGTATGGTGTCATAAATTGGGAACCACCCTGAGATGACCGTGGCAGCTTCACTATACAGTAACGGGTCGATGTCAATGTACACCTTGCCAATAGCATCATTTGCACTGTAAGTATCGTGGTCGAGAACTGTGATCTGCAGAGGTTCATCTTGTAAATCTTCATCATCCACCTACAAGCACACCCTGAAATTAAATCTTAGATCTTTGAAACCCTAAGGATCACAAAGCTATATACTGCCAAACCATGAAGGAATCTTCGGGATTATCCTCAAGGACAGAGGGAGAGAGATTAGCAAACACAAAGTGTGGTGAGTAGGGCCAAGCACTGTAAATCAGCGGCAGAGCACCTGTAGCATACAGCACAAGGCCTTGGATGCAATTCCAGAATGGCAAGAAGTAAAAACTTCCACAGAAATATGTGTGAGTGTGTGTGTGTGTGTGTGTGTGTGTGTGTGCTAGTGTTAAAATAAATTGGGGAGGGGGATGGGCCAGGGTCTTTCTATAAAGCCCAGGCTGTCCTGAAACTCAATATGTAGACCAAGCTGGCCTCGACCTCAGCTTCCCAAGTGGTAGGATTAAAGACATGTGCCAAAAAGCCTGGCTTCTCAGAAATAGTTTAAATGTTTAGATATATCAACTGCATAGCAATATGTCCCATTAGAAGACTACATTTCCCAGCCTCTCTTGCAAGACGTAAGTTTTAAATTCAACTAGTACCCAGAGCTTGGTAAAGTGGGAGACATCTTAAAGGGATCCATCCCTTGGGAACCTCTGGAGAAAAGCTACTTCTAGGAAGAACAGTTTCTACAACTGAGTCCCTTTGTAGAAAGCTCAGACACAGCCAAGCTACTCAGAAGTGGTTCTTTGGAGACACACAGACATAGCCCACAGGAAGATCATTAGGAATGGTAGCTACTGTCTACAATGTCACAAGTGAACCCCTTATTGGCTATGAGCTGAGGCACAAGTTTTTGTTTTATTATGTGAGACAGGATTTCTTTAATTGTAGTTCTGGCTGTCCTAGAAGTTGCTCTGTAGATCAGGCTAGCCTCAAACTCACAGAGATCCTCTGCTTCCCAAGCAGATTAAGGTGTGTGCCACCACTGCCCAGCTTAGCAGCTTAGCAGCTTTTCAACTTGCAGTCTTGTTTCCTTAGTATATGTGCTGGTTTGAATAAGGATGGCCCCCATATATTTGAATGTTTAGTCACCAGGGAATGGCACTATTTCAAAGTCCATGCCAAGTACAGTCTGTCTCTCTGTGTGAGAGCCCCCTTCCCCTCCCTCCTCATTCTCTCTCACTCTGCCTGTGGATCTGGATGGAGCTCTCCACTACTTTTCCGGAACCATTCCTGCTCCCACTGTGGTAATAATGGACTAAGACTCTGAAACTGTAAGCCAGCCCCCAGTTAAATGCTTTCTTGTATAAATTTTGCCTTGGTCATGGTGTCTCTTCACAAAAACAGAACAGTGACTAAGACAGAAGCTGGTACCAGAGAGAAGGGTATTGCTGTGACAGGCCTGACCATGCTGCTTATTGGCAGAGTATAGACTTTTAGGCTTTGGATTAGGAAAGCAGCTAAACACTTAAAGTGGACTGGGCCACACTAGCATGAGCAAGGAAGACAGAGGTTCTGAGAGCAATGTAAATTATGATGGCCTAGCTCAAGAGGTTCCAGAGAATATTAGTAAGTAACCTTAAGACCATTCTTGTGATATTTTGGCAAAGAATGTGGCTGCTTTCTGTCCTTGTTGGGAAAAAAAAATCTGTCAGAGGCTAAATTGAGGATCAATAGCATTGGCAGAAGAGATTTCAAGACAGTCTGGTATTGACTCTGTCCTGTGGTTATTAGTGATGATTCTTATGCATACCTATAGTGAAAAAGAGCAAGCTAAACAAGGGAAAAAAAGGTATGGCTTGAGAAAAAAGGCACCAGGAAAGGCAATGGAGCTAAACTCACTGCACAAAGAGATAAAAAGTTTAAACAAAGCCAGACTGTGGTGGTGCATGCCTTTAATCCCCATGCCTGGGAGGCAGAGGCAGGTGTATCTCTTTGAGTTCGAAGCCAGCCTAGTCTACAAAGTGAGTTCCAGGACCGCCAAGACTACACAGAGAAATTCTGTTGTGGAGCGGGGGAGTGGGTGGGGGATGGGGAAGGAAAGGAAGACCGATGCTAAATGGAATGAAGAGTGGTGACCTCAGCTCAGCTTCCAACTTGTGAAAAGTAATTCAGAAAAGCTTAAGGAGTGAACGAAACCATCGAAACAGAAAGCTGATGAAAATGTATTTGAATGAGGGAATAGTGTTCCAGCCCTAGCAAGCAGAACTTGGTAGCTTTGACTATATGATTCAGGTTTTAAAGTCAAGGATATAAGAGGTGCCGAGGCCAGGTGTGTATGGGGTGTCCTCCCATGAAGGCCTAGAGAGGCCATAACATGAAGTTGTGTAGGTGAAGCCTGGATTGTGGTAGAGACCCCTAAAATGTTACAGATAACAGAGTCTGCTAAGGTTTGGTCTTTTGCTTTTATTGTAATGCTAAATATTGGACCCCAAGGCCTGGTTGCCTCTGTGGACAAGAGTCTGAACATATACAAGTGATGCTATGTAAACTTGCCCCTAAGTTATCAAGACTGGTGAATAATGATGCCTACAGCATCTAGCTGGGCAGAAGGGATATGGGGGTCGGGGTCCTTAAGTTCCCGGGCTTGGGGTCTGAGGAGACCACAAGGAGAGGGAAGAAGGTGAAAAAAGAAGAAGCTGCCATGGGGTAAGAATCTTAAAGTGATGGCCATGTGGGCTGGCTAATGGGAGTTAAGAGCAGCCCAGACGAAACATGGCAAATTATATAAAAGGATTACTGGCTGGGAAATAGACAGAATAGCGTAGAGGACAGCATAGATATCTGCTCAGCTCTGTGCTGATTAAGGCCTATTGTAAGTATAAAGGTTGTGTCTGTCTTTTATTCAGGAACTAAATGGTCAAAGGCAGGGTAGAAACCCTGGATTAGGATTAAAAATACAAGAGTTGTGGGATCCCTGCCTAGGAGAGCTGTAGACAAGACATGGAACCAGCCCAAGGAAGAGAAGTATGGGTAGTCAACAAAGCTGAAAGCTGATGCTCTGAAGAGTGTTGGGGTGTCACATGGAGATGCAGAGGTTGGAGTCTGCCCAACTGGTTTGTGGTCTTGCTTTAGTCCAGTGTTTGCTCACTATGTACGCTCCCTTTCCACCCTTTTGGAATGATGACGTAGAATCGTGTGATTGTATGTTGAAAGTATGTGATCCGCTTTGTGATTTTACCAGGGTACCAGTTAATGGACTGCCATGAGTTTCAAAAGAGACTTCAAACTTCATACTTTTAAAGAGTATTAAGGCTGTAACACCTATGGGAACTTTTGAAATTGGACTGAATGCGTTTTTGCATTATGATAAGGCTACAAGCCTTTGGGGGGCTAGGAGTTGAATGTGGTATTTTGAGTAAGAGTGGCCCCCAGAGGCCGATATATTGAATACTTAATCACTAAGGAGTGGTACTATTTGTAGCAATTAACGAGATGAGGAAATGTGAGCTTGTTGAAGGGAGCATGTCACTGGAGTGAGCTTTAAGGTTTCAAAAGCCCATGCCAGGCATGGCCCACCTCTCTCTGTTGGAGGATAACACTGTAGCTCCAGCACTATATCTGCTCCCACCAGGATGAAAATGGACTAAACCTCTGAAACTATAAGCTAACCCTGAATTAAATCCTTTAAGTGTTGCCTTGGTCATGGTACTCTTCACAGCAACAGAACAGTGACTAAGACAGCATGCCTATACCACTTCATGCCTGTATATTATCAGAAGGACACAAGTGTCTCAAAATGCCCAGACTCAAACCAACCTAATGCCTAACTGAAGATTAACACCCAGCTTCACTGAAGCCACCTCTTATTAACACAGACTTTCCTGTATGAACACAGACTTACAGCCACCCCGCCACACCTCTGAAAAGACACACACTGAGGCAAATGAAGCTCAAAACGGGCAGCAGAGTGCAGACATGGGAAATTAGCAAGTACCAGGAATAGGACTTCCATTTTCTCCAATCAGACCTTGGCATTTCACAACATCCTGATTCTTGGGGAATACATTTTCTGGCATTAAAGGAGAGATCACAATCCTGCCACTGACCAGCAAATCAAGGTGACTATCTTCCTTCCCTGGTAGCTCGGAAGGAAGGCTCTCGGCAAAAGCACAGTATCCCTCAGATCAGCCAACAGTCTGCTGCACTTCATTCTCTTTCCTTACAGGACAAAGGAGCTACCCTTTACCCAGTCTGCACATGACTGCCAAGTAAAGCTCAGATGAGGAAGGCAGGGGAATCAGTCTCTGTACTACATAAGGACCGTGACAACACTGTCCCCAAAATGTCACCCTGTCCCCAAAACTTACAATAGTGGAGTTGGGGATGTCAGAAACAGAGACAATCCATTTAAAAGTAAATAGGTACACAAAGAAACAGACATGGACAGGCACAACAAGAAACTAACATTTTTACAGCAAGTTAGAAGAAGTAACTCATCACAGGCATAACAAGAAAGAACAGCTTAGGATAGGGGAGAGAGTACTCCACACAGCTATCAAACACCCCATGATGCCTCAAAAGGATCTCTACTGGACAGGAGAGTGCAGATGGAGAAAGAAGGCAAAAGGCAGACATGGATACGGGGATGAGAGGCACCCCCTCTGAGCACAGGTGCAGGTCCTCTTGGACATGAGTGTTCCTCTCAGCCCTGTCTACCTTCTCCTCCCATCTCAGAACCTGCCACTGAACCAGGCTCTTCTCTATCAGACCCGCATAGCCCATTCTCAACTCCTGCCCACCATCACTCATCCTTGACCCTCTGTCAGCCAGACACCCCGACAGACTCACATCCACACCCAATAGCCCACAGCAACCACAGACAATAAGAATTAATCCCTACTCCTGGTGTGTATTTCACATACAACCTCTTCTGTTGACCTTTTAAAGATTTTGTATAGGTGTGGCATGTGGATGTGGGTATGGGTATGTGTATATGTGTGTTCGTGTGTGATGTCTTGTATGTATGTGAGATATGGTGTGTGTTATGTGTATTTGTGTGGTGTGTGTGTGTCTGTATTGTATGTGTGTTTATATACACATGCATATATGAATACAAGTGCCCATAGAGGCCAGAAAACTGCCCTGGATCCTCAGGAGTTCTCTAGGCAGTTGTGAGCTGCCCACATGAAAGCCAGGCACCCAGCCATGCAGTGGTGGTGCACAACTTTAATCCCAGCACTTGGGAGACAGAGGCACATGGATTTCTGAGTTCGAGGCCAGCCTGGTCTACAGAGTGAGTTTTAGGACAGCCAGGGCTACACAAAGAAACCCTGTCTCGAAAAACTGGAAAAAAGAAAAAAGAAAGAAAAAAGAAAAAAAACAAAGCTAGACACCAGTCGGCCAGTCCTCCTAACCACTGAGCCATCTCCCCAGTACCTGGTTGACTTGTAAATTAAAAAAGAGAGTCTTAGCTCTCGTCAATGGAGAAATAAGTCTCTTAACAAATGAGAATTAAACACCTAAATTACTAAATGCACAGAAAGAAATTAGCCAGCCTCTTACATCATACCATTAAAGAAGCTGATTCAAGCCGGGCGGTGGTGGCGCACGCCTTTAATCCCAGCACTCGGGAGGCAGAGGCAGGCGGATTTCTGAGTTCGAGGCCAGCCTGGTCTACAGAGTGAGTTCCAGGACAGCCCGGGCTATACAGAGAAACCCTGTCTCGAAAAACCAAAAAAAAAAAAAAAAAAAAAAAAAAAAAGAAGCTGATTCAAAATTAATCAGTGACCTATAGATAAAAGCTAAATCATGATATTCTTAGAAGAAAACACAGGAAGTGGATTTGTGATACCACAAAAGCATAAACAGCATCATGAATCTGTATGTACTGAACTTCATAAAAAAAAAAAAAAAAAAACAACCTGCACACCAAAAAAAAAGTATCAAGAAACCAGTCAGTAATAATATATGGCTTTCTTTAATCCCAGCACTCAGAAGGGCAGAGCTCTAAGTTCAATGACAGCCTGGTCTACAGAGTAAATTTCAGGATAGCCAGGGCTACACAGAGAAACCCAATCTTGGAAAGAAAAAAAAATCAAGAAATCAAGAAAGTAAGAAAGTAAAACCTACTAAAGATCAGAAAGTATCTGCAAGTGGTATACGATAGGAATAAATATTAAAGATATATAAAATGTATAAAGATCTAAACTCAATCCCTAGCAAAATATACATATACATGAATATATATGTAAATATATATATACATAGATAATTTCTACAATTCAACAATAGAAAAATAAACAGTTAAATTCAAAAACAACTGCCAAGGGCTGGCGAGAAGACTCAGTGACTCAGAGCACTGGCTGCCCTTCCAGAGGCCTCGGGTTTAGTGTTTCAAGCCACCATGGACATACAAGGTGCTCATACATATCGGGAGGCAAAACTCCTATACACTGAAAAAAAAGAACGAGTGAATGAATGAATGAATGAATGAATGAATACAATTTGAAAACAACAAGTCTATAATCCCAGAACTCTGGAATAGGAGCAGAAGAACCAGAAGTTCAAGGTCATCCTCAAATGCATGGTGAGTTATATTCTAAGTAAATTCAAAGAAACAAGAAACATCAAAAGCTACCAAGGTTAAAAAGAAGGAGGGAATAAAAATTATGGCTCAAAGAATACAGTTTCTGTTTAGGGTAATAACGTTCTGGAAATAGTAGTAATGTTTCCAAAACACTGTAAATGTCCCTAATGCTACGGAGGTGTACCTAGGATGAAACTGAGTAAGAATGTACCTGCTGCAAGGAAGGCTAAGGCAGAAGGGTCTCAGCTCAAGGCCAGCATGGATAACATGGCAAGGCTTGGCCACAAAAGCGAAAACGCAAAAGCGGTTGGAACCAGATCTGGGTCAGATGCCTATAATCCTGCACTTTTGAAGTAGGAACAGGAGGACCAAGAGTTCAGGGCCAACCTCAGCTACATTGTAGCTACAAAGTAGTTTAAAAAGACAAGACTACTTGTTTCTAAGCCTGTGCACTGTTCTTCAGATCTGGAATATGCTAGAACCCAAAGAAAACAAGAACACGATGTCTATGAGGACAGCCATTTTTCATCTGCATTGGCATATATTTTAACTATGATGTAATGCTTCAAAACCCCAATATTCCCAAATGAGCAGAGGCAGAAACTGTTCTTTGTCATCCTCAGGAAAGGGAGGTCACACCCAAACAACAGAGTTATTCAACAGCTTACCTCAAACTTAAACCACTCCGAGTTCCACTGAGGATTGAGTGACTTGAGGTACACATCTGTCTTAAAGGTTGTATTACCAAATTTTACCTAAAAGAAAAAAAGAAGAAACTATTCAAATATAAAAATCAAAAATAGGAATAAATGCTAGGCTAGGAGTGGTGGCACGTGCCTTTAATTCTAGCACTTAGAAGTCAGACCTCTATATTCGAGGCCAGTCTGGTCTGCATAGCAAGAGATTACCTAAAAATGGGGGGTAGGGTGGGGTGGGGTGGAGGAATGGGTATTGGGCTAATGTTAGTGGCAGCTAAGCAAAGTAAGGATTAACAAAATGAAGGGAAAAAGACAAATATCCTAAAAAAAAAAAAAGAAAGAAAGAAAGAAAGAAAAAAGAAAACATGCATCATTACATGCAGAGAGATGCAGAGAGAGGGATGGAGGGAATGTCTCCATCATATAGGAAAGAGCTTCTGAGGAAGGGAAAGTCCAAACCCTTGGCCTGTTAAGTTGGGGGAGGGAGGTGCCAGCCTTGCCCTGTAACATGCATCAGCACTGAGGGAGGAATCCATATGTCCACTTGAAGGAGAACAGCTACAACAAAATTGGAAGGTAAAGAAGACATGTCTCCTCACCTAAGCAAGAGAAACCAGAAACACGCCCACTAATAAGGTGCCAGTTCCTAGTGTTGTCAAGCTTCCCTGGGCTTGTTATTTTTAGATCTCTTAGCTGTGCAAAGAGCGCTCAGTGATAAACTACCGCGTTTACGCTCAACAGCTGGAGACTACCTAGGCTCAGTCCATCCCGCCATGCACTAAATCCATAGGCCCATGAAAAGGGAAGACAGCAGGTTAAGTCCTTGGTATTGGCTTCAAAACAAAAGAAAACAAAAACAAACAGGAAGCCTGGGGGTGAAGCCAGAGCAGCTTCCTAACCTGCCTGCTCGTTTCTAAACTCAATCTACTTTTTTAAAGGCTCTTTTAATTAAAATTTAGCCACATCCCACTTATTTTGTGTGCCTGTGTCATGGAGCACAGGAGGAGATCCAAAGACAATTTTGAGGAGTCATTTCTCTCCTACTGAGCAGGTCCCAGGAATCACGTTCAGGTCCTTAGGCTTGGCAGAGGACACCTTTACCCACTGCTACCTTCTGGCCCCTATCTACACTTTAAACCCTTCCTCTAGGCCCTCAACTTTGTCATCAAGGACTTTGACTGACCTTGAGAGAAATTAAAGGCTGTCCCTTTATTAGAATACTTAGCACAGTTATGATATACAGATATTTACAAATGCTGCTTTGTCAGGTAAGAATTACAGCATTTACTGATCTTATTAAGGCTAGACAAAAACTGTAATTTCTGTTTGATAAGTTATTCTCCACTGGTAAAATGAGGCAATTCAGGCCAGACTAGAGTATGTAAAGGCAGGTTTATTAGGAAGCAGTTCTAGGTCAGGTTCACTGGTCCCAGGGAAGTTGCCATGGGGAGGGAGATAGCAGGGAGGGAGAATAGAAAGAGAGAAAAAAACATGCATACTCAGGGATAGAAAAAATGCAGAGAGAGGGATGGAGGGAATGTCTCCATCATATAGGAAAGAGCTTCTGAGGAAGGGAAAGTCCAAACCCTTGGCCTGTTAAGTTGGGGGAGGGAGGTGCCAGCCTTGCCCTGTAACAAATAAGGATTGAGGGATGCTAGGAGAACCTGGAAAACAAGTCCACTTTGGTACGTTAAATATGCACCATAGCCGCTTGTCCTGGGTCTGAATCGCAACGCTGTTCTGTATACTTTCCTAGTTAATTTTACAGTTTGAATGAAGTAGTTGGTACCTAAGCAGTTTGATTAAAGAATAAAAACTATTTTAAAAACAAGTTTAAAAACACATAAAAATAGGAATCTTTTACATGTTATTAGAATATCATAAAATCAGGATAAATAAGAAACTGAGAAAGGCATTTGCCAAATAAACAACTAAGTTCCTAATTTGTCACAATTAGCCAGGAGGGGTAACACATACTTATAATGCCAGTACATAGAAGGCTGAGGCAGGAGGCTTGCCAAGAGTCTGAGGCCAGCCTGCTCTACAGAGTAAATTGCAGGTATATATATAAATAAAAGAACTGGGTCCTTCAATGTATAAACAACCAAGTTCCTCGATTTCTTTTTTTTTAAGTATTTTCTTTTACATATAAAAAAGGTGTCCCAGTATATGATTTGTTGAGGTAAACATCAATGAAGTGGTAATGATTTTCACCTCTAGGTCTGCCATCATTACCAATAGTACAGGTCACAAACACAAGGCTTATTTACACGATGACAAGGCTACTTTAAGAGTCAGCAACTTTCAAGAAAAGAAAGTAAGTCTAAACAAAGTCAAACATATTACAAATAAATTTCTTTAAAAGCAGTATCTTGGATCTACAATCTTATCTAACATCAAATATAAACCTGAAATTTCTTCAACAAAGGTGGTTGGTTACAGGTGTTAGTGCAATAAGCTATTAAATGAAATTAACATGTTTCAAAAAAGAAAAGGCCTAGCAAAGAAACATGGATTTTGGAAGCTGACATTTTCTATAAGCACTAGTATCCTAAAATAATTGACTAATGCTACCTTACAGGACGTAAGTTCTAACAACTACCATTTCAATACACCTCTAAGGAAATACTTAAAGAGCATTAACACACTCAAGCTGAAAGACTTTTTAATTCTTATTTACAACTTCTATTTAACTTAAGTAACAAAATACACTTTAAAAGCATAAATAGTTCATCTGACCATCTTTAATACTAGTTAAAAACATTCCAGCGTTTTTTAACTAATGGAAGAATTTAAAAACTGTGTATAAAATACAGTCAGGCTGAAGAGATGGCTCATCAGTTAAGAATACTGACTGCTCTTCAGAGGTTCTGAGTTCAGTTCCCACAACTACCTGGTGCCTATGACCATCTATAAAGGAATCTGATATCCTCTTCTGCCATGTAGATGTACTCCTACAATTTAAAAAAATTAATAAATTAAAAATTAAAATATTTAAAAAAATCCAGCTCATGGCATTTCGTTGCGGCTGGGACAGCAGGGGCAGCACCACTCACAGCTTTAAGGGCACCTGAAACTTTTGTTTTCTGCTCACCACAGTATATGGAGGCCTGACTCGATCAGGACACCTTGGCAATCAAGAAACAGAAGTTCTTCTAAGTATTTTAGATACTTTGTTGTTTAATTTACCTAAAACTGCTATATTTGAGGTAAAATGTTTGTTAGAATTACAAAACCACTCAAAAGTCAAATATATTGAAGAGTTCTGACTCAGAGAAAAAGAGCTCACAATGTTTTAATTTTAAGTTAAGTTCATAGACCTCTTTTTTCCACAACAGTAGTGAATGACATGGGCACAGTTAAGAAACCAAAATAGCCACTCCAGGCGGAAAAGGCAAAGTTTATTCCAAACCGCCAAGGCTATATGACTCTCTCTAGGGAAGGAGAGAAAAGCAATGCAGAAAACATTTCCAGGGCTTTAAGGGATCAAGTACCTGGAAGAAGGGGAACCTGTAAACTGGGGTACTTACTGAGTAGAGCTTGAGGGAATCTAGAAGCCAGCAAAGACCCTGATATGCTAGACACCAAAGGCTTATGTTAACGGACACGTCAGAGGTCCCTTTTGCCACAGATAAGAATGCTTCCTTATAGCAGATAGAAGCTATTTCCCCAGTCCCTGAGAGGGTGTTTGCTTTTGTCTAAATGCCACACTTTGGGAAAAGGGATTTCTTAGAAGTAGACAAGTGGTTGTGCTGATAATTTATCTTTTCTCCTTGTCAACTGTCAACTCAAGATAACTTAAAGATCGGTATCCCCACATTTCAATAAACAAAACTGGAAAAAGGTTAAACCATACATGGCCAATGTGTGACCCTTCTAGTGAAAACCACAGTTCCTGCAGTCTTGTTTACTTCAAAGGAGATTTTATTACTCAGCAATTAAATGAACATCTTACAACTTCCTTTAGGGCAGCAGGATTTTAACTGAAAGTCCCACAGTAGGGTAGAGCATTTTCTACCCAAGTTATTTAATCTCTTGTTCAAATCTGCTTTTTCCTCTAAAAAAAAAGTTATCAGGACATTTCACGATTATGCATTATCCATGAAAACGCCTGGTAGGATGGAAAATACTGATTAAATATTCATTTATTTTTCTCTCTGTTCCCTCAGACTCTTGGATAAACAGAGAAGGACGGCACAGCCAATGTGTAGCATGAACATTAACATGAAGATCTATTTATTAAAACTCCTGGTCTTATTCACCCTAGAGCTTCCTGCAACAAGAACGTTTTGGTTCTGTTTGCATTGGCGATCAGGCAGAGGGTCTTGCACATTTCACCACTGAGCACCATCCTCTGTTCAAGAATAACCATCTTTACGACGTGGTCTTCACATCAGAGAAGAGAAATTCCCTCAGCCAACACAACTTGGACCAACACTTGATCTGTATTCAAGCAAATTTGGTTAGATCACAGAATCACTAAAAACTTAAGTGCGGTATGGAAAAATGAAATGCAAGTCTGACTACATGAGATTCCTCCTCAGAACCCATAGGGAAAGAACAGAGTCCCCCTGACCGCCACATGTGCACCATGGCACACATACATCTGCACAGGCATATGAGTGTGCATGTGCGTGTGTGTGTGTGTGTGTGTGTGTACATATGTGCACATGGGCACACATGCAAAATACCTTTTAAATCACAAATTAAATGTATTTTACAATAAAATATCAATTTCTGCATAAACTACACTGATATGATATATAATCTGGCTTACATTTATGTAGTAGCACAATTCAAAGCCATTTGTAATATTTTTAAATTTTAATTTACATTTTAATGTAAACAAGGTAGTCTATTTTTTAAATCTTTTCTCCCAATTCACGAGTAATTATCAGTGACTATTTGGTTTTGAGCAGTGAGAATTAAATCATTATTTTAAAATTTCTTAGTGTTCTGGTTTTTTTATTAATCATTTTATTCATTTACATTTTCAAATGATATCCCCCTTCCCAGCTATCCCTCCACAAACCCCCATCCCATCTCCCCTCCCCTTT